GATTTCTTGACTGCTGCTTCCGTGAGTGTTGGTGGTTGATCCAAGAAGAATGAAATCCTTGACAACTTCAATCTTTTCTGTTGATAGGAATGTGGTTTATTGGTTCAGTGGTGAGGATTTTTGTTTTCTTTACATTGAGATGCAATCCACACCGAAGGCTGTGGTCTTTGATCTTCATCAGTAAGTATTTTAAGACCTCTTCACTTTCAGCGAGCAAGATTGTATTATCTGCATTGTTAATGAGTCTTCCTTCAATCCTGGTGCCTCATTTTTTTTCATATAACCCAGTTTTTCGGATTATTTGCTCAGCATACAGGTTGAATAAGTATGGTGAAAGAATTCGACCCTGGCACACCTTTCATAATTTTAAACCATTCAATGTTCCCATGTTCTGCTCGAACAACTGCGTCTTGGTCCATGTACAGATTCCTCAGGAACACAATTAATTGTTCTGGAATACTCATGCTTCTCAATGTTCCAACTCATAGTGACCCTGTATAGTCACCCTGTGGCTGGTGAGTTTGAACTGCCAACCTTGTGGTTCAAACTGACTTTGTGGTCCAGTGCTTTATTCCACAGCAGTACACCAGGACTCCACAAAGCATATTAAAGTTCTGTTTTCTTTCCATTTGTGTGCAAAGTGAGTAAGGTAGAGGCAGGAATTTACAGAGGGTTTACAGACTAACTACTGGGTGCTGATGCATTCAGAAATGTTATCTTATTTAATGTGCTGTGGGACAAGCACTTCAGGAGAAGGATGTGGTTTTCTGCTCCCGTAAAGATTTGCAGCCTTGGAAACCCTATATAGGGTCACTATGAATCAGAACTAACACCACGGCACAAAACCACTATCACCACCAGCAGGACAAACACTGGACTGGTAACTGTAGTCAGCAGCTCAAACCCATCAGCTGCTCTCAGAAACCCTGTACAGGGTCACTATGAGTCAGGACAGACTTGACGGCAAGCAACAACACCAACAGGATAAGCACTGGACTGCTAACTGCAAGGTCAGCAGTTTAAACCCATCAGCCACTCCTTGGAAACCACTTGACAATGACACAACCCTGTAAGAGATACTTCCACAGAGATGATAAGAGAACATAGAAACTTCAGGTCTGGCAGTTGATACATCTAGAACCATAAAGTGTCCCATTATCCTCTCTGGAGGGGATATAACACTAATCTGTCTTTGATTTTAGCAAGTATTCTCATCATAGGATTGTGAGTACAGGGCACCATTTCCATTGTCTTTCCATGGAAGGAACGACTGGACACTGTAGCAATATATTTTTAAAAGCAATTCGAAGCTAATGCTAGAGGTACCAGAAGTTCTTCAAAGGCAAAGAAAAGAAAGTTAGGGGCATGAATCTGCTTAAAAAGCTTTCTGAATTATCTAGTAAATGACATTGTTGTTGTTGTTATGTGCCATGGGGTTGGGCAACCCTGTACAGGGTTTCTGAGGCTGCAAATCTTTATGGGAGCAGAAAGCCTCATCTTTCTCCCGCGGAACAGCCGATAGTTTCGAACTGTTGACCTTGTGGTTCGCAGCCTGATTCGTAACCACTACGCAACCAGAGCTCCTTAGTAAATGACATTAGAAGGGCTTTATCCTTCAGACATTAACATAAGTATACATTTTATGTATTTCTCTATAGATTTAGAATAAAATCTACTAAATAGATATTTAGTTCCATGATAAGATCCCAAAGCCCTTTGAGGATTTAAACTGATACGCCAACCTCAAAGGGACTGATTCTTGCAACTAAAACACAGACACCTCTGGGGTGAAATGTGGCAACAGTTTGACAGGCATAGCAGTAGCTTAGGCCAGAAAGGATTTATCCAATTAAAATTATGGGATGAATTTTGGCTGGCAGAATGTAATTACCAGCCTTGGATTGGATCCAGGATCCTGAGGTTAACACCCCTCCTCTTGCCAACAACCCTCCTACCTGCCAACACTCTGAGATGGAGAAGGCTGAATCTGACATAATCGCACATAATACTGTTGTGACATCTAAGTACAATGATGGTGATGTGAGAAGCATCATGAACTGGATTTTTTTTAACACTCATTATGTTACTTATTTTTATGCCACATTAGGCTAGAAACCAAATGTCCACATAAATGTTAATTTCCTCAAATCTGTGTTTGAAAATTATAATTAGAAAATTAAAAAATAGATTTAAAAATTAATTTATTCCTTCAAAGTAGTTATTTAGTGATTATTTCACTTCAGGAATGAGACTGGATCAAATTGGTCACATTTAATCTTTGCTACATTAAAAACAAAAAAACAAACAAAAAAAAACCCCACCAAAAATACAGATACTGAATTTTTGGGAAAAGAAGTATGTTCTCAAGGTTCACTGGCCTAGAAAAAAGGGGAAATACCGAGTGCCTGGTTCATATTCGTTGTAAGCTTGACTATATAATACTATGCAAGTCCTGCTTTTGTTCTGGTCCAGTTTTGATTCCCAGAAGCGGTTCTGCCAGAAGAGAATTTACATGAGGGTTTGAGGTTTGTCTTTCTTAACAAAAACCGTGAAGAGCCCCCTGCTGGTGTATGGGTAATGACCTAATCATTAGATTGTAATGCCTTTTTAAAAAAGTAATTTATTTGCAATAGAGAATTGTGGACTGTTCCTAGGTAAAGATGAGCGCAAAGGCAATTCTGAAAATAATTGCTTTCAAGGACACTGAACACGCGCTGTTGGGGTAAGAGAGAAGGCTTGGCGGTGGACAGTTTGTGTGAAGCGCGCTCCTAGGCGCTCGGGGGAAACCCACGGCCGGCCGTGTGCCCGGGAGGCGGAGCCGCGAGCGGAGGCTGCGCGCCGGTCACGCGCTGCACCTCCGACTCGTCGGTTGTACTGCTCAGCCGCCCGGTCGCGCGCGCGGATACGTGCCGAGTCCAAACTGCTGAGCGGCTGGGACGCGGAAGCTGGATCCTGGGCAAGCGCAGCCGCACTGCCGGCCTGCACCCCAGGGAGGAGCCTTCGCGCCCGGCGCTGGCCTTGAGTCCCCGTCGCTTGCAGACGCAGTTCCCCGAGGGTGTCGTGGGGGAAAGCCAGGGAGGCTCGGAGGCCCGTCCGGAGTAAACCGAGAGCAGAGCAGCTGGGACTCCAGCCACACTCGGGCTACCCTTAGGCTCCCGCAGCCCTGAGACACTCGCCTCAAAAACCGAGACAGGACAGCGCTGGGAGACCCAGTGGTCGGGTTCTAGCCTCCTTGGTGACCTCATCGCAGCGTCAAAAGTGCTGAGGGTGTGAGCCCACGCAGGTGATTGAGGGGTAACCGTCATGGACATAGTTCTCTCTGCACTTGGCCTAAGGTTCCTTCCCCGGGCAGGCATTGTTGGGTCTGATCGCCGGAAGTAATGGAACTGTGGTCCAAAGGAAGAAGGACTACGATCTCCATCTCCCAAACCACAGAGTGTTTTGGGTCTTGATTTTGCATCACATACTTAAGAGGGAGAGAAATACTTACCCTTTTTACTAACAAGCCCAACTGCTGTAAATGCTGCTGCTAATTTCAGCTTTTGGTGTGGAGGTAGATTTTTCTAACACCATCTTTGTGTGATTTAGCTGTCCACAGGGAATCAAAATGTGGCATAAGAGGATGAAACTAATCCTCTCTTTTGCACTGTTAGGGGTTGCCATAAACACCATTTGTTAAAAAGCATAATTATGTTGGGAAAGTGCCTGATGAGACAATTAAGCTACATAAACACTGAAAACAAATGAAAACCAGAAGACGCCCACACCCCTTGTGTAAAGCAATTTTTTGTTTACATAGAAATGAGAGTGCTGCTTTATTACAATATTAGTAACGTCTAGAAAAAGCTAATGACCTTTTTTTTTTTTTAATACGAATTTTCAATAGTAAAACCATGAAAACCTGTTTGCAAGCCTGAACAAGTCATGAAGACCTGCACTCCTTGATCACATGGTCAGATCAACAGATCATCTTAGTGAACCGAAGCCCAAGGCATCATGTACTGAGACCATCATCACTTGCGCCATGCAGCTTAACTTAAAGTCACAAGTTGAAAGTTTGTCTCAGACTTGAGCAAAGCCTACTGCAGCATCTCCTCATGAAGAACAGTACCCGGCAGGCACAAAATGACCCCCATCAATTATTTCTTACATGAACTCCCTGGAAGAACCAAATTTATCATGGTCTGATATTGAAAAGGATTATTACTTGCAGATATTCTAACTCCTTTAGATCATAATTTGAAGTATAGAGAAATAATGAGTAAAAAATGCTATTCTAAAGTATTAAAAAAAATGTCAAAGCAGCCTTCCAGACTCATGCAATTAATCGATTTTCCATGAAAGAATGAGTCAAATTTTTGGCCTTATTGAGCAACCTCTGAGATAACAGTCTATGTCAGCTTTCAGTTCAAAGTCCCAGGGAATTTTAAACTGATTCAGACACTTTGAACCAAAGTACAAAAGGCAGTCAAATAATTTAGTCAAATTGAGTCCAAAGTGTCCAAACCAGTCCCTTTTATTTGCTCATATAACATAAGAACCAACAGCATATCAACTAATCTTCCTCATTTCTCCTTTTCTGCATTTCCTTCCTTAAGGGAAGGACCAGGCCTATTTGTTAAATAGTGCAGATCCTGGAAAGGGGAGCGATAATCGACTAAAATAGTATTCTTCCATGGAAAACTTTCATCTACATAATAGAATTCAGGCTGAGTAAGTACTTTCAAGATATTTCTAGTGTTGTTACTCTGTTCATATGTCCATAAATGCTTGACCACATCCCTGTGGTTTCTTGGTTGAGTCAGTCTGAGGATTTTACCCTTTAGGTGTACTCTAGAAATGAAATAGTGAAGTGTTCATAAAATAAAATGAAGTGTTCCAAAATGCTCCTTATTTAGTTATTTTAAAAATGTTTATGGTTAATGAACATGAAAAAATAAGAATGAAACTAAAGACGCTGAACTGGAAAATCATGTTCTTCCTATTCTAGAAAAATCACCATGTCTTCCTCCAGACCGGGACTCCGGTTAGCTGCTTGTTTGCTAAACATTTCAGAAGCCAGAAGGAAATATGTTGTTGAGAACATAGCAAAAGCAGCTCTTCTTGAAGAAAATGGTAGGAACAGGAGACGATATTGTAGTGAATATTGTAGTGCTGTAATAACTTTTGTATTTTGCAGGAAGTATTTATACAACACTTTTCTTAACTATAATTTCCCTGGTTACCCGCCTCACCTCAAGTTTTTGGCCTGTAATAGCTTTTCCTGCATGATTCCAGGATACTGAGCTAGCTCAGTTACTCAGATGTGTACCTAGGTTCATTTCTGAATGTCTGCAACCCCTCCACAGCAGAGCTCTTTACAATGGAGTGTGAGTATCTGAGATGCATATTGTTGAGGATTTGACTGGATTCTGAGGAAGGTAATTCTTTAAGAGGCTTAATGTTTGCCCTCATGGGCTATTTATTTGATCATCAATAGAATAAGCATAATCATATTATCTTTTATTATACAGCTTTGAATAAAAGAAAGCAGACTTGCCAATCACCAATTACTTTTCAAATCATTATGCAGGCAAAGCCCATGCTATCATTACCGTATTATTTCCACTCCATTTTGTCTGTATAAAGACTTCGACAATTTTAGGTATTTACATGATGTGTGTCTGATCATCCAGCAACTCACTGAGGGAAAACGAACTCAATACTCCTTACTCCCTGAGCCAGTGCTTGCTATAAGACATACTACTCTTGTTTTTATTTTAAATCCCTTTTCAAATTTCCATTTGCTGACATACATTTCTGATGCATCATTTGTTTGTACTTTACACACTAGCCCCCATATCTTTCTATACTCACAGTCATCTAAATAGAATTGTTTTCTTAATTAAGTCAACAGTTTGGAGGCAACTGGTGAGCATTAGGGTCACAGCCCTGAAACATTTAAAACAGTCAATTTTAATTTCTGGCCTTTTATACTTGGTTACTGCTTTTCAGGAGAGGAAAGTATTTTTTCCCTAGGCCACATGTAACTATGTGCACATTTAAGTAACTATCTTACAACTTCACAGGAACAGGGCATATCTATGAGAGTTCCTGATAATTGTTGATAAGAAAACTCCTTTGAAGTCTGTATACAGGTGTGCGTTTGTATTCTCTTTTCAAGAAGAGCCAGCTTGGGCTCCTGGTTGCCAGAAACAGTACACCCAGTGGGCCTGGGTTACCTGTCTCTCTTAAGTAAGCGAATGTGCAAAGATTTTGTGGAAGCCACACACTGATAGGTGCCTGGGCCTCAACTCACAGTTTTATTCAGCTTATTAGTGGCAGCAGCTCAAATGGAATTATAGCTATTATACTCCATTACAAATACCAAACAATTTGTCTGCTGAGATTCCTACTGACACTTTCTCTTGCCAGCAGTTTTTTTTTTTTTTTTTTTTTCTATATGCATGCTTACGAAATTGCAGGCGAAAATGTTTCATTCTTTCAGTGTTTGGTTCAATTGAATCACATGAAATTGAGAATAGACGCTTTTCAAAGAAAGATTTAGGATGGGAAAAAAAAGAACATATCTTTTTTTCTAGAAGCTGAAGAATGTTGAAAACGACATAAAATTAGAGGTTGTGTGATCTTATTCTTGGTTCATTTTGATCATTCTAAAAATGAAGGAAAGATAGTACTGGTTAAGAAAATTAACCTGTTGTTTTACAAATATTTGAAAGGCATTTATTTTTAAGTAAATGGAAAAAAAACCACAATGAAGCAATATATATATATATGTAATCAAGCAATGTGGGCACGTTTAAATGGCCTCTGCAGATCTTACATTAAGGACCCACGAGTTAGTCGATTTTAGGCCATCACTGGGCACTGCACTGCAGATGCTTATTTGGCTATGAGAGAGTGACATATGTTTATCTTTTCACATTATTAAAATTAATTGTGTGGCTACTCTAAGCTCTGTGGTTCCTGGGTGTAACTTATTTTTCCTTCCCTCTGAAAAGATTAATTGTTAAGCTGCCAGAGGACAGGAGGACAGGGTATAATAACATAACCAAAGGTTTAATTACCGCCTGAAAATGTTTGTCCTTTACTTTGAATTTGCTGTTGTAGGCTTAAGGGGACTTTTAAGGAGCTTGAATCAGACTTGTAAACTTCAAAAATAACTCTGGGGTTGTGTGTGGCAATCATACAAGGGTATGGGGGCTTCTCTTTTCTAGGTTACAATTCGAGGGAGTTATAAGCTACCAAAACCTGGAAGTCATTAACATCTGAAGGCTGTGGGTGGCTTCTGAGAAGATGGTGGGGTCTGACCAATTTTTAATGGACAGGTGTATGCATCCCAGAAACCTCTACTCTAGGTACTAATTGGCCTAACCTAGTTCTTCCAGATGTCAGATTTTGATCTAGCACTACCACCACCAATTGCTGTTGATTCTGACTCATGGCAACCTCATGTGTGTCAGAGCAGAACCATGTGTATACAGTGTTCAGTGCTTGATTCCCACCTCCCCCCCCCCCTGCCAATATACTGACAGGCCTTTCTACTGAGACACTGATGGTTGTACTTGAACCTCCAACTTTTTCATTAGCAGTTGATTGCATTAACTGCACACCCCAGAGACGCTTAACTTTACCAAGACATTTTGATTTCTGGGACTTGGAAGGAAAAGTTGACAGGGACTAGTAGATATTACTATGGAGTAGAATTCAAAGTAATAGGAATTGGCAGTTGAAGAAAAGCTTCCATTTTAGGCTGGATTAAAAGAACTTTGACTACTTGATTTAACAAACTCAGTCACAGGTCCATGAGACAGTCTCTCTTAGACAGCAAAGGCTGAGCTAGTGCCTAAGCTGAGCCATCTCAGTTTTAGAGTAAGAAGTGGGTGTTGTTGTTGTAAAGTACCATGGAGTGAGTTTCAACTCATAGAAACCCTGTAACGGTTTCCAAGGAGCGACTGGTGAATTTGAACCGCCCATCTTTCGGTTCAAACCGAGCTTGCCACACCAAACTAGGACTCCAAGAAGTGGGAATTTTCAGCCAATGTTACTTCCAAAGATCACATTCCAAAATGTTGCAGACCGTGTCCTCGTGAACTGAACCCCAATGTCGAGGCAGGTCCCCGACACCAAAATTCTTAAGTTAAATTAAATTATATGAGAAGAAGTTAAGTATTAATATTTCATTATGAAAAAAATGGGATTTATGATATTTTCTTCTCTACAGGGCAGAAACATCATGAAGTATCAGTGCTCAATATATTTTCTGATCCAGACTACAACAGATCAGTCATTACAATAGCAGGATCTGTTGATAAATTGGGTAAGATTTCTATTTTTTTCCTCTATGTATGTCTGTTTTGATGAAGTAACCTTTAGGTAGACCTGAATGTTCTTTAATCATTGTTTTCCTGTGTAAATCAGAGTCTTTCCTTCCATTAATTAGAAAAAAAAAACAACGAAAAAAACATGCCGTTGAGTCAATTTCAACTCATAGCAACCCCGTGTGTATCACAGTAGAACTTTGCTCCATGGAGTTTCAATGACTGATTTTTCAGAAGTAGATTACCAGGCCTTGTTTTCAGGTACCTGTGGATGAGCTTGAACCTCCAACCTTTTGGTTAGTAGCTGAGTGGATTAGCTATTTGAACCACTCACAGACTCCTGATTAAGTAGAATCTACCTTTCCTGGTGTGGTGCAGTAGAATTAGCAGTGGACTGCTAACCACAAGGTAGGTGATTCAAACCCACCAGCTGCTCATCAAAAACCCTGTAGAGGGTCATTGTGAGTTAGAACTGACTCGATTGCACTTCACAACAACAACAACCATTTCATCATTCTGATCATTTACGTCTCAAATTTTTCCCATTTCCCTCTATAGAATAAACCTCTGTGCCAAAGATTTAATAATATTCTTTTGCAGAAGATGCTCATATAAACAAAATGACTTCAAATAGGTCTTGAAAAGAAGAGGGGAAAAAAAAGTTCATGGAAAATGGAATTAAAAGATAAAGATATAAATTTTATTTTTCAACACAGTTTCCATCAAATTCAAGACACTTTTGTAAGTGATGATACCAGCCATTTCTATCATTCCTAAAGAACTAAGCATCCTGGGAATTTAATCATGTCAGTGTAGTCTTTGTTACATAATCAACTGAAGGAAAATGGGTGCCTTTTAAAGGTTTGTTAAGACTAGGGGGAAAAAAACCAGTCAGAAGGAATCATATCAGAACTGTAGGATGATTTCCTAGAGATTTCTTGTTGAAATTCTCACAAAATTGCCCTTGTTTGGTGAGAGGACTGAACGTGAGCATTGTTGTGAAAAAGACTCTCTGCTGAAACTTTCCCGAGTGGAGTGTTTTTCTGATCAAGCTATGACTTAACTTTCTCAAAACATTTTCATACTAAGCAGATATTATCCCTTGTATATCTCCAGATAGTCGACAAGCAAAATGCTGTCAGCCTCCCAAAACACTGTTTCTGTGACCTTTGTTCTTGACACTTTTGCTTTGACACTTCCACCTCTTGGTAGCCATTGCTCTGAGTGTGCTTTGTTTTCAGGATCTTACTGGGAAAGCCATGTTTTTATCTCCTATTACAATTTTTCCAAGAAACGCACTAGGATCTTTGATCCCATTTGTTTAAGATTTCCATTTAAAGCCCTGCTCTGATCTGGGCACAACCGTTTTTGGCACCCATGGAGCAGGATGTTCATCTTTCAGTCAGAATTGTGTAAGCTCAACCACTGGAGATGTCTGTAGTGTTAGTGTTTGTTTCTGTTAGTTGTCAGTTCTCCTCAGTTAGGGCACGAGCAAGATTGTTTCTTCATAAGTTGATGTGGATGGTGTGCCACCACCACAGGCTTCATCTTCAACATTATCTCATCCCTTCTTAAAATGAGTTATCTATTTGTAACCTCTTGATTTCTTTGGGGATTTGTTCCCATAAACTTTTTGTAAAGCACCAGTGATACTGCCATTCTTCCACCAACCTTCACCATAAGTTTTAGATTTATTCTTGCTTCAATGTTAGCAGAATTCACATTGCTCTGATAGGGGTTCTTTTCAAACTGATGTCTTATCCTTCTTAGTGTCTCAAACTAGATTCTGTTCAGACATGTTATAACAAGTTAGGAGAAATTTATTTTGGTACAAAATTTTTTTTTAAATCCATGCATAGTTTTTCATAGCACATTTTTCATGAACTTTTTGAAGAACCCTCGACCTTTGTGGTTAGGAAAAATCATCTTCAAGTCTTAAACTTTGATACAGTAGTGTTAACTTGTACATTTCACTTATAAGTGCCATTGAAGCAAACATGGTAAGTCATTGTGTTTTGGGTTGGGAGCTCAAAATCTTGAGTTGGTTGAATGAACTGAACTTAATGACTGATGGGGGCATTTTAAGATTTAGTAGGACAACTAGAATTGGAAAAATTATAGTCATTTAAAATAAAGACAATATTATTTTAATGTTGCTTGGTAAGAGATTCTAAATATTTTCAAATGAACTTGATTTCAACTTGGCAGATTGTCCTTTTTAAAAAGAACTCTTTAAAAAGGTGCTTGCTTTGAAACTGAGGCCCTGATTGGTAATTCCAAGCAAGTTATAGGCAGATTATTTTAAATATTAATCATAAAATAAAACATAAAATCTTCATTATTGTTGTTTGTCTCTGTTACTAGAATGTTATCATATTACATTGCTAATGAAAACTCAGAGTAATAACATAAACTCTTAGATGTCTTTAATATTCAAATATAATAACCCAGTGGGAAATCTAATTGCTAGACAAGGACAAAACTAAATATTCACACTTTAAAATTTATATTGTATATATATTTTAATATCTCTCTTAATAAAATGTGAGAATTTTTCAGATTAATAAAATACTTAAAAACTTGTATAAAGGCCACAAAATTGTTTAAGATTGATAACCTTTGCATAATTCTCCACTTTGGCAATAAAGAACTGTAAGAAATGTAACATTTTATGACAACCAGGGTTTGGAGTGAAGGGAAGGAAGTACTGTCAGGTCTTTAATTTGTCATGATTTTGGATGAGCAAACAATCTTGTGTACAGATTACCAAAGAAGTGAGACAAAATAGCAGCTCCATCTTTAGTTGTGATTGAAAGTTTAATAGCTATCTATCTATCTATCTATCTATGTATATATATATTTTTTTTTTTTTACAATTTTCCATTTTTAAGGCAATGCTGTTCTTGCTGCCTGTATGGAAGCCTTCCGGTCTATCAACATGGAGGTCCAAGAGGGAATCCATCCTTGCCTGGGAGCAGTGGATCTGATTCCGATTTACCCTCTCTCTGGGGTTGGAGTGGAAGAGTGTGGAGCTGTGGCCAGAAGTATGAGAAAGTATGGGGTGGTGTGTTATTCTTTAATGTAAACCGTTTTTATAAAGCAGAACAGCTCGTGACAATATAATCACTCCTGGGTCCCGTAGGAAGAGTAGAGCTTGAAAACTTTTACCAACAGTAAGCTTTTATGGGTTGCCATGGCATGGTGTACTGTTGTAAATTACCCTTCCACTTTCTGCCCTGCAACATTATGCAACACTAAATGCTGTAGGATGTGGCAAAAAAACAAACACCAAAACAAACATCATCAATGGTTTTGTCTCTTACAAGTTCACAATAGATAGCGAGGAAACAGCAGTCATTTCTAATGAGTTCTTTAGACTCTTTAGGGCAAATGATTGTGTGTTTTGCCCATCTGTGTTCTATTTTCTTGAGCAGGGGTAATGATGAGGTTGAAAAACCACTTAAATGTTAACTCCTACCCTTTTCCTCTGATTTCCCCCCCTTTTTTTTTCCTGATGCACAACTTTCTCTAAGATTTTCTTGAGAGCCAAAATGTCACATGCTTGATTTCAGCCCCAGGGGTAAATTTAATTTGGAAAATTTGAGCTATGTCACTTGAGGTGTTTTTGAATTAGGCCACTTGAGAGACAAGAAAGGCCTTTTGCGTGGACCGTCTAGCTGCTGCGTGGTTAATTACAATTCACAGAGGCTCTAACCTTCAGGGGAAATGTCTGCCGTAGGATAATTGCATTCTTCTCTGTATGACCTCAGACATCCCTCTGTGATGTTGCTTCATTTTTATTTAATAATGAATTGTCTAACATTTGGGATGTAGATTTGGACTTCAGCTGAGCAGCATCAAGCACTAGAAGCAGGAAATGCGACCTGTTTCCAAAGGAGTGCTCATGGTTTGAGCTGCGTCTTAATGTGACCTGACAGTCATTTCCCAGGAAAAGCTGGGCTCCAAATTTGCTTCACTTTTAATTGAAGAAAGAGTTAAAATTCAGCATGGAGGAAACTGTGTTTCACACAAAAATGAAGAGTTCAGAGTTGTCCAGGCCAGAATAATGATTTTAATTGTCTTCAAAACAATTATGGACAATTACATTAAATCTCAAATTAGCTAGTACATGGCGTTCTTCATTACCTCAGGACTAGTTTGCCCCAGATGTTCACCATGTATAGAAGACAGTTGAGAATCGGAGGGTCTGGACACAGTGTCTCTCCCTGCTCTTGCCCTTTTGCTTCATTGGCAGCTACTGTACTTCATGATTTAAACATGGACATTTCTAATTAAATGAGAGCTCAGCTGCATTCTTGAACTAATTTATAACATTTGATTTGAAATGTAATAGCTCCAATCTTCATCTGATTAAAAACAGTCATATACTGTACATGGTTACTATTTTGATGCTCCAACATGCAGTTTTTATTTTTACATTCCCCTTTCTACACAGCTGTTCATCTAATATCATCCAATTTTTTTTAAGAATTTTTTTTTGTGTGTAACAGCATGTTCAGGCATTCTTATGAGGCAGAAGAACTGTTCAAATCTTAGGATCTCGCTATTCTCAGAACAGTAAAGGATGTTTTCACTAGAGTAAACCCTTCTCAAGGAAAGCAACTTTAATATATAATTTAACAATGGAAAATTTGAGAAGGGGCAATGGAGTACAATCTGGTGACATAAAAGATAGTTAATATTACTGATATAGATTTGAGGAGGCTTCCAAAGTGCATGGAAAAAATTAATTATCTCTTAATTCCATTTGTCCATGAACTTTTTGAAACTATATAAGCTTGCTTACGCTTTATGGAAGGGATTCTGAAACTGAAGTCCAACATTAGTGTTCAGGAGAGTTGTAAATACTGGCAAAGTTATTTGTAAGTGTACCTGCATCCACATTTGTACACATGTGCATGCATGCACACCTACTTTTCCATTTCTTTGAGTTGAAGAACTCCTCGAGTCCATGAAGGGGACAGAACTGCAGAGATCT